CCAGGGTCCCTTCCACGGCTCCCAGCCGCTGGCCCAGGGCTGCCTCTGGATGTCTGGGCAGCGGGCCCGCTGGCGGCAGCCTCCAGCCCAGGCGCCGGGACTGCTCGGCCTGGCTTGGACCACCCGTGCCTCTCCGTGGCCCAAGGGGCCTGGCCTTCCCTTCCTGCTTAGCAAACCGCCCTTTTGAATATAAAGGAACCTGCTGACATCCCGGTTACCTGACGCTATCCTTCTGTCTTCCTGCCGCTTGGGCCGCATCTGACCGTCTCATGAGACAGGGGCCAGCCCTGCCTGTGGCCTGCCTCGCAGCAGGCCCTGTGCTGGGCCGCGTTCAGGCCCCTGCTCCTGCCATGCAAGGCCAGTGAGGGCGGCCCATCTGCCACTCGCTGGCGAGGCAAAGGCCAGGATGGGGCATGGGGGGGGCAGGTGGCCTCCCATATTTGATATCAGAAATCAAAATAGATTGTAGCGTCCATCACATACGGTGGGGAGGGAAGGCGGTGTATGCAACAGTTGGCTGTTACGCAGCTGAGGACATGTTTGGGCCTGTGTTCTGTGCGGCTCCCTAATTTTATCTGCCGGTACAGACTACAGACAAGGGACTCGGTGCAGGTGATCAGCTGAGTGGCAGGGAAATGACTGGTGATAAAGCAACTGAAAGCAATCAACTGTGGCTACCCTCGTGATAACTAGTTCCATCTGTGATTGCTTCCTCAGTGACTTGCCTCGTGCCGGGTCAGCCTGTTTGCGATGCCATCTGACATGTGCACTGCTGCAAAGGGATTGGCATCACAGGGACCATTCATACCCTGGTGACACAACTTTCCTTCCTTGCGAGAAGTTTTTTGATCTATTCTCTTCCTAACGTTCAAACACGCAGTAACTTACACGTGCATATCGTGACCTACAGGGCCTTACAGTCCATTCCTCCCTGCACTGCTCTTCCAGTGGAGAGACAGTGACCCTCTCCGCCACCCTCACAGCCTTCACCCTGTGCTCACCTCTGCAGCCACGTTCTCGGATACACAGTTCATGCACTGTTGGTCTTTTCACTGGCCTGTTTCACTTAGTTCTCCCCCCGGTTCATCCATGCCGTGGTGAATGGCGGGATTGCCTGTCCTATGACGGAATGATACTCCGTGTGTGTGTGTGTGTGTGTGTGTGTGTGTGTGTGTGTGTGTGTGTCTGCGTCAACCGTCAACAAATGGAAAAATACCAGCAAACCAAATCCAACACCCCATTAGACAGATAAACACCATGACCAAAAGGGAGTTCCATAGGCTTCAAGAATGGCCCTAAAACATCTAAAAATAAAGTGAAATATCATATTAATAAAGAATAAGAAAAGTATGTGATCATTTCCAGATAAGTGGCCTTTGACAGAATTAACACCCTTTCATGATAAAACTATTCAACAAACTGGGAAGAGAAGGTAATTCACCTGACAATAACCATAACATCATATGCAATGGTGATTCTTTCTAAGACCTCGAACAAGACAAGGATATCCACGATCATTTCTACTCGGCATACACAGATTGTTCTCGTTGGGGGCAGTCAGGAATGAAAGGGCTTCCAAATTAGAAAGACAAAACTAATCACTTCTATTCAATATGTACAGCAATTAGGCAAGGGAAAGAAAAGACATCCAAAAAAAAAAAAAGATTTATGCACACACAACTGGGGGTACAGGCCAGAGGTGCAGAGGCGGTGGAGGCTTCACCAGAGACAGAGTGGGGAGCAGAATGGGCAGACTGATGAAGTGCACTGCTGAGGGGAGCAGCGGGCGGGTCAGGAGAGGTCTGCCGCGCCATGTGGACACCTCCGGGGCCGGGATTGACCTCGCACTGAAGCGGCTGCGGCCACCTTGCCGTGCTGCGTCCTAACCCGTCGTGCCACCAGGGAGGGCCCTGGTTTTCTCTCCCTGACCCGTCGTTATTGGTGTGTAGAATGCAACAGGTGGTGATCTATCAGTTGTGTGTTCTGCACTTTTATTGAATGATCAGCTTAAACAGCATGTTCAGGTGTCATTAAGGTTTTTTCTTTTCATTTATATAACCTGTCATCTGCATGCAGTCACTGTACTTGTGTGTTTCCCAGTCGGATGCCTAAAGGCCCTGCTGACCCCCCAGCGCGCTGACGAATTGAATGACAAATAGGCCCCCTGGTCCCGGGCTTGTCACATCGACCTCACTGCGGGGTGGGACCCTCAGCCCCACACTGGGCTTTCGCTTTGAATGGATGTTGGATTTTGTCAGACCGTTTCTGCATCTTCTGAGATGATTGCGTGGCTCTGAGCCTTCATCTTGTTAATGTGGAATATTCATTGATGAGCAGATGTTAACCTTGCCTCCTGGGGGGAGAGAAAACTCTTGCTAATGGTGTTTTACCGCCACGTTGACTTGGCTTGCTAGTGTTTGTTGCGGTGTTCTGCACCCTCGTGGACTAGGGATACTGCCCGGTACTATTTATCTCTGCACTGCCCTTACCCAGCGCCCGCCTGAAAGTGTTGTCCATGTCGCTAAGCGTTAGGGAGGGTCACTGTCGTCATGGGGTGTTTTCATAGTTTGCCAGTGACGCTCTCACACTCTCCTTCGTGAGGTTTTCGACAGCCGATCTCAATCTTCTGGTACTTGGTCTGCTCAGATTCCCTCCGTCCTCGGACGTCTGGGGAGGCCGCCCGTTCTAGGCGTGTGCTCGGCCTCTCCGCCGTCTTCACTGGGTGGCGCGGCATCGTCCCCCGCGGCTTCTCTCGCCCTCTACTTCCGTGACAGCCGTGTCGTGGTGTGCTGTCTCCTCTGTCGCTTGTGACTCTGAGCCCTCACCTTTTTGGTTAATGACAAGCAAAAAGGTTTTACTTTCTGTGTTTTCAAAATTCACCTTTCATTTTTTTTTAAGATTTATTTATGCATACAAGGGCTGGGGTACAGGCGAGAAGTGGGGTGTGTGTGTGTGTGAGGACTCACCAGAGGCAGAGTGGGCGCAGAACAGGTGGATCGACTGAAACCCATTGCTGAGGGGAGCAGTGGGGAGAACAGGAGAGGTCTGCTGCGCCCTGGGGGACCCTCCCTGGCTGGGGATCGAACTCGCGCTGCAGTGGTGCGGCTCGCTCCGGCCCATCGTGCCTCCAGGGAGGGCCCTTCGTTGATGTTTTACATGAGGGTTTAGCCTTTCCCGCTATAACTTGGGCTTCCTCTTTCATGCCTCCAGAGGGAAGCCTGACCACAGAGCACTGTCCCAGTCCAGCTGGCTCTGACCTGCTGGCCCTCCAGTCACTGTCACCCCCCCACACACACCTCCCCAGGGCAGAGGGTAAGGGGGCTTGTGATGGATGGAGGCCGTGTTACTCTCGCGTGGTGTCCCCTCAGCTGTCCCCTGACAGCACCCCCAGCATGCTGCGCCAGGAGGCTGGTAGGATGCCGGGGTCCAGGTTCCTTACCTGCAGGGCCCAGGTAGGTCTGTGAGGCTGGGAATTTGAGGGCTACATCGTGTTTATGGCTGGATTTCTGTGAGAAATGTTCAAGTTGCCAATTCTCCTACTTTGCCAGCAGCCCGACTTCTAGCGTTTGGGTTTCCCAGCGACCGGAAGGCCTCCCGCCCAGCCCCAGCGCTCTTGCACCCCGGGGGGCCGGGTCCTGGACCCCAGCCCCACAGTGCTGCTGCTGAGACCTGGGAGCTGAGGGCCTGGTCAGAGACGTGATTCTGTTAGGTGAAGCAGATTTTACTGAGAAGCTTTTGTTGAAATCAAACAAAAGATAAAATGGGGGCCAGGGTGGGGGCGGGGCGGAGCATGCCTGTGCAACCTCCTCTCCGCCAGGACCATTCTGGTGGAGGGGACGGGCGGGGCGCTGTCAGTGTGGTGTCCTCAAGAACAAATTGTCCATCTACACCATGGCCAAGAAAATGACCAGTTATGTCCCCAACGGGCAAAATCATGGGCTGCGTCTCTGGAAGGTGAGACCCTCCAGGAGTGAGAACCACCGCATACACGTCCCAGACAGGACTGTCGGCGTGGCAGGGAAATTGCAGCTTACCAGCCCTTCCCGCTGCACTGCAAAATTGACGACTTTTATCCTGCGCCCCGTGAATTGACGGGTGGACTGGCCCCAGCTGCCATGTTTCTGGGCCCTCGGCACGGAACAGGTGCTTCCCTGTGGGGGCCAGAGAGACAGGTGCACAGGACAGCTGGCCGGGAGTGGCGAGCCGGGCAGGTAGGTGCACAGGACAGCCGGTCGGTGGTGCCCGGATGGAGAAGGAGCATCTGGGTGCCGTGCGTGGGGGCGTCAGTCCAGCCTGAGAGGCGGGAGTTCAAGGGAGGTGGGGCGCAGGCAAGGGGAGCAGGCATCCAGGCCGTGGCCAGGGGCTGCGCTGTCAGTAATGCCCGTCCCACCTTCTGCGAGCTGAAGGGGCCCGGGCGTGAGGCTGTCTGTCGGGTTGTCCACCCCGCCCTGCAGTGCTCACGAGATGCCAGGTGCTTGGCAGAGGAGGCCAAGGGGTTGGATGAGCGCCTGGGCTGGCTGCAGGGTGACACCCACTGCTGCACAGTGTCCCCCCCAGTGCCCCCCGCCCCCCTCCCCGGACTGACTGAGCCCTGCGTGCCTGCACTCCTGGCTCAGAGAGCCCTGACGGCAACGTCCATGCCCAGGCATGGCCGGAGCATCCTGAAAACCAATTACTTAATGTTGCGTGTGCGGGTTGCTGACCCCAGCCCAGCTGTGAGTCCAGCCAAAGGGGCCCCAGGGCCTGCTCCTCAGCCGCCACCCTGTTATCTCTGTGACGGTACCCTCTGGCCTGCACAGTAAACCTCTGTGCAGTGACCCCTCTGTACCCAGCATGGGTGCAGGGCCCAGGCGGTGGCCCAGGCCCAGGTGCCCTGGCGACTTCCAGGCTCCGAGCAGGCTGTGAGGGCTGCGGCTCAGCGTCCAGGTCTCCCTTCCTGGCACCAATGGGGTCTCCTGTGGCCCTGCTGGCTGTGTGGCCACAGTGGCTCTGTGCGCCTGCCCTCGCCATTCTCGAGCCCACGCGGCTCCCCCGTTGTGACTCAGAGGTGCCTCTGGCCCTGGTTCTCAGCCTCAGCAGGACCCTGACTCCGGCCACGCCAGCCTGCACCACACCCCCCTTCACCGCCACTGACCTGCCTTAGACGGGCGCAGCAGGGCTGCCTCAGCCACTGGCTTCCCCCACGGGGGCCGCTGGCGGGTGTGGGGCGCCCTTGCCCTCCTCGCCGGGTGGCGGATCTGAGCGCTGCTGTCCGACGCGGCCGAGGGCTTGGGCCTGTGGGCGGTCGACCAGGCTCCCAGGCTGCGGCCCCTGGCAGCGGGGTGGACACTAGGCCCAGCTCCCTGTTGGCCCGCCGGGAGCCCTGGGCCAGTAGCCTGTCAGTCCTGGCTGCTTGGGTCGGGCCTTTGCGCCTGCGCAGACACTGCT